TATATATATATATATAGTATTTTTTATAAATAGTTATTTTTTGATTAGATTATCTAAAAATATTTTAGATATTCTTTCTTAAAATGCTAAGATCTATCAGAATGTATAAGAAAAGATTGATTATATCTTATTTTTTCCTTAACCTGCCCCTAATATTTTTTTCAAAAACAAAAAAGCAATCCCAAACGCAAATTCAAACCCATACATAAATTTATAAATCAATTGTAAAAATAAAACTCTATCCATTGATCCAATTGTTTTGTTATATTTATTATTTTAAAACTTTTATAAAATTATTTTAGGTGTTTTTTAAAAATTCTAATATACCTACAATATCAAATGTCCTCTACTTTACAAAAAGTAAAGGAAGAGTTTTAAATAAAGTTATATCACTGCACTTTTAAAAGTCTATTCAGTACTTATTACTTTAATTATTTTATCACTCATTCATTCATATCTTCTAACATTTCTTATATTTCCTAAATTTTTTTTTATTAGAACATTCTTATACTTAAAATATATTTTAATTTACAAATATTTATATACGTTAGTAGAGAATACTCCTTCTATTTGAATTTTTTTTTTTTTTTTACTTATATAATACATATCTATATAATTTTAATTTTAAAACATTTTTGTGTTTCCTTAAACCCTTTAAAATTATCAAAATTCCATTTTCATTCGGTTATCATGATTTTATATTTTTTTTTTCTTATATTTGGGGATCCATTATTATTTTTGATATTTAAATAAATGCGCGGGACTATGTTTAATATTTTTTTCGTAAATGAATTTTTCTTTAAACATAAAAGATTTAAGCTAAGTAAAATAATTCAATAGTTATTTTAAACACTTTATACCACAATAATTATATATTTCTTACAAAATTACCAATTTAAATATTATAAACATTTTTGAATATGATATATATTTATTAACTTAATATTGTCCAAAAAATATCTATTCATTTTGTTTTCTGTATATATGCTTTATTATAGTGTAGACTTATATTTTTTTTAGAAAATTTCTATTTTTTTAAAAATAGGGGCTTATTCTTTATATTTTTATTCCATTTAATTTTTGTTTATTAAAAGTTTAATCTAAAAATAAAATCAAAAAAATTAATATAGTAATAAAAAATATATTTATTGACATAAGACTTTAATAATTTTATTTAATATTTTTAAATAAAAATAATTATAATATAAATTTATCTTTACTTTATATTTTATTATTATTATTATATATATATATAAGCAATTATTAAATTTTATTTATATTAAATAAAATATTATGAGTCAAAATTATTTTTAAACTATATATTATTGCCTTTCATATGTTATAAATATGAAATATAGGTTAATATATTAGAATAATAATTTATTTCTACCGGCTTTTTTCTAAGGTAAATATATTTGAGATGCTAATATTCAAATTAAAGTATTTTAAATTAATATAATATATATAATATTAATTTTGACATTAGAATTTACAGTTTAAATATTTATTACTTAAATTTAGCTTATTTAAATTAAAATAATTAATCTTTTTTGAAAGATTTTTATAATTTTTTTTTTTTTTTTTACTTCTTTTGTCATTCATTTGTATAAAAATAAATTATATATTGTATTAAAACTATAAATATAATAATATATAGCCATTAAAATATAATTAAAAATTTGAAAGCAAAAAGAAAAAAAAAAGAAAAAAAAGATTTTTTTTTTTTTTTTAAATATTATTATTAATAAAAATAATCACTTTATTATAATTTTTTTCCCAATTATAATTTTAATATAAATATTATAATATATATATATATATATTTTTTTTTTAAAAAAAAAAATCATTAACTTTTATTTATATAATACAAAAAACAATAAAATATTTTATTTAATCATAATTTATATTATCATTCTCTAATACTAATCGAATTTTAAACCTAATTCGTTTATTAAAATAGTCATTATTAGGTAATTATTTAACACTATTATTATCTTCTTCTATAAATACTTTTCATTAAGATTTTTCAATTGCGTTTTTTTTGTTAAAATTAAAATACTAGAGTGTTTATATTTCTAATATGTCAGATAACTTTCTATCCATTTAATATTATTTTATTTCTATTAAATTTAAAGGAATCAGTACGACTTTTAGTGGGAGTTTTTTTTTTTATTCTTTATAAAAAGAGTTAAATTTATGAAATTATGTTTATTTTTAATTTTTTTTTATTTTATTCCAAATTAGTTAATAGTTTCAACAAAAAATTAAAAATATTAAAATAGTCTTAATCAAATTAAAAATATTTTAATCAAATTTTTATAATGTAAATAATATCAATATGCTCATCAAAAAAATTTTAGCCCAATATATTTATTTTTTTACAATAAAATATACATAAGTACACTTATCCTTAAGCCTTTTTCAGCCTGATTTGAATTTCTCTTAATCTATTTTGTTATTCTATTGTATTTATCTTATTTTATATATCGCTATTTAGATATCACTTTATTTCAGATCTTTACTTTAAATAATTATATTTCTTAAACCAGTATAAATGTCATTTGTATTAATTTATTTAACTTTTAATATCAAGTTTAATTATATATAATAAGTATTTTTTTACTTTTTATTTATATATTAAAAATAAATAACTTTTTATTTATATTTTTATGTTATTTTATACATTAAATTAAATAATAAACTTAAAATTAAGATTGTAAAAAATAAATATGTATATATATATATATATATATATATATTTATATATTATTAATATTTTATTTATTTCATAAATCTGTGTATTTACTCTAAGTTTTTATATTCTTTCTTCTTAATGTCTTTATTTTTCTTTTTAATTAAAAACTTAGCAATTTCTTTCATCAAAATCAATATCATTTGTTATACTTTTAAGCTTTTTTTATCCTCCTAAAAACGCGATCATATTTTCCTCGCTAAAAAAGTTAATCATAATCTAATATTTTTTGCGTTTTTGATAAAAAGCAAAGTATTTAAAGAACTTTAATTTATTTCAAATGAATTTAAAATTTCCTTATGACAATTGGCATCAATATACCCATATTCATATTAAGGAAATTTAACTTTAATATTCTTCAGTTTCTCCAAATCCATTTTGAAAATTCCTTCTTTACTTAAATCAAATAGAGCAATTAAACAAGTCTTTTTTTTTTTTTTTTTTTTAATAACAAAAAAAAAATATATAAAAATATAAAAAATACTTTAGTTAAACATTTTTCTTCGAAAAGCTCTTAATTTGAAATTTCATCAACATTTTATTAACCTAATTAAGCTTATTTTTAAATACAGAGTTTATTGTAATAATTTACAAGATTTTTAGTATTAATATCTCTTATTTCATAGCTAGCCTTATTATATGTAATATTATCACTATCTTTTTATCTTTAAATGCCCATAAAGGAAAATATAGAAGGTACTTTATTTATATTCCAAGCTTCCATATCTTCTTTTGTAGGATTAATTATTTAAATGAATGATAAATATTTTCTATATTTTAATTTCTATGTTAATGTATAATATAAAAGCCTTATAAAATAATCGAATTTATCTAAATATATTATACTAACGAATTTATTATTATCATCTGCCTTTTAAATAAGATCCTTTATTTAATAAGCATTATCTACAGTATTTTCCTCTAAAACATTAAGGTTTATATTTTATATTATTTTTTCACTAAATTTTTCTTTAGTCTAATAAGAATCAATAACTATATAATTTTCGATTTTCTTATTATTTAAATATATTATTATTCCTTATTTTTATGTTATTTTTGGGTAAAATTTCCCACTTTCCTCTGTTACATAATAATATTTAAATAAATTTCTATTTTTTTTTTATTATTATTTTTTTTTTTTTTTAAATTATTTTTTTAAACAAAAAAATACCCAAAATCATTTTATATATTTCCAAAAATATCATTATTAACATTTTCAAAGAGTTAAATAATACACAAATTATCTTTATTTTTTTTCAAAATACCTTCAATTTCGCTCCCTTTAATACCAATAGGATTCACTAAATCCTAATATTCCGCATAAATACCTCTAAAATTGGCCTTTAGCCCATTATTATTTACCTCAAGATATTAATTAATGAATTTTTTGATTAATTTCGGTACATATTTACCTTTATAAGATTCAAATTCCCATTCTTCTTCTACTTTTTTCATAATTAACATCGAAGGGATTTTATTTATATTATATTTTTTTTTAATTTTAGTATTATCGCCATCTACTTCAGCAATTCCAATAAGATTTTTATAAGAAGTACTGAATGATTTAATAAAAAAATCTGTTTCTTTTTCATAATCTTCTTTAAAAAATAAAATTTTGAATGGATTTTTATCATTTTTCAAAAAAGCATTTAATTCTTTAAAATTTAAAATTTCTTTCACTTATCCAATAACAGTTAATTCCTTTAATTTTTATTCTAAGTTTTGTATAGAAATTTAACCAAAATAAGGATTATCTACAGGAGTAATATTATCTTAAGGTTAGAAAAAAGAAATATGAGGCAATTTATGTTTCATATTAGGTTTACAATAGGGTAATTTATCTCTATCTTCAACATTAGCCCATACACTTGCACAATCTAATAAATATGTGTATAGAATTCCTTCGTTTCTTTCCGAAAATTACTTATAAATAGCGTTTGTAGTCTCACAATTTGAACAATTTAATTCACAAGTTATTAATAATGAAGCAAAATCATTTCTATTTTAATATAAGCGTTCTTCTATTTGTTAAAAACGAGTTAAATAAATTATTTAAGTATTTATTTTGTGATATATAGATAAAAATAAGAAAAGAATTAATATTTTCATATATAATTTTTTTTTTTTTAATAGTATCTTTTTTTATTTATTTATTCTAAATATTATTATTATAAAAATATTTATATATATAATTAAAAAAAATACATATTTATATATTAAATATATATATATTAATATATATATATATATATATATATTTATTGAAACATTAAAATATACAATTTATCTTCTTTTTAATTATTAATTTTTTATTATAAATTTAAAAATAATAATTTATTATTTATTAATATTATTTTATTTCCTATTTTTAAACTTTTAAATATTAAATTTTTTATTAAAATATTTTTAGATAAAATCAATAAATTTATTTTAAAATTAGTAAATATAGAGATAAATATATAATTTAAACAAAATAAATATAATAAAAATTAATTTTTATTATAATTTAATTTAATATAAATACCTAATATACATTAATTTTTTATATTATAAATAAATTAGAGTTAATTATTAAAAATGAGTTAAACAAATATATAAAATGAGACACAATTAAATTAAACCTTTCCTGCTTTAAACAACGAATAAAATAATTTGTTTCATGATAAAACTTCTTAATTAAATTATAATATACTTGAAATTCAATCATAAAACATTAAAAAAGTAAATCATTATATTAAATAGTAAACTATAAATTAAATATATATGTATATATATATATATATATATAATATATATATATTATATTAAAACAAAAGAAAATAACTATTTAATAAATATAAAGAAATAGATATAATATACTCTAATTAGAAAATTCAAAAAAATAACATTTAAATAATCTAGAAAAAATATGATGATAAACTATTTATCGACCGTATTTCCTAAAAAAAATGGTTTAATATTTTTATTATTTCTATTTCTTTATTATATATTTGTTTGACTTTTATGTACTTCCTATTAGACACAAAATATAACTTGGGTAATTCAAATATTTAATTTATTTTAAATGCGTTATCTGATATCGAATTTGTTATTTTAATAATATTTTAGTCTAAATTATTGCTAATTATATGTTGCATATATTAAATTAGAATCTTATTTTAAGGATAATTGGGATAAAATAGATACTTTTTTTATCGTACTTAGTATTATTTTAGTTCTTATAAGAATAACGACTGATAAGTAGCAAATATTTAATAATATATCGAATGGTAATTAGAAATATATTGAGATTTATTAGGTTATTTTTTACCTTTAGAAAGATAGCTGATTATAAAAAGAAGTAATAAATACTTAAGGTCACTGATAAGTCTCCTGTCGAAAAAATAATTTAAATATTTAATAATTTATTAAACTCTATTTAAAATGAAAAATATAATCAAAAATTAAAATGGGCCATCGAAATTGTGACCACACATAAACTCTATGAACCTTAATTAGAAGAAAATTAAAAAGAAGTATATAAATAAATATATATAAAAAAATATAATATACATATATAAATATTATATATATATATATATATATAAAATAAAATAAAATAAAATAATAATATATAATTTTTAATAAAAAAGATTAAATAATTGATGGAATAATTCTAAATAAACATTAAAAAAGAATCAAAAACAATATATGCTCTATAAAAGCCTGAATAATAGAAAAATATTAGTATAAAGCCATCTCTAGTTCTTTCAAATTTAAAAAACGTTATTGTGGAATCTAATGATTAACTATAAAATGAATAAAGTTAAAAATTAGAATATGAATAAATAGAAATACCTTAAGAAGTATTTTTTATATATATTTTTATTCATTTTATATATATTTAAATTTTTTATATTAGTTTTAAATTTATTTCGAATAAATAAATAGTAGCGAGTTTATGATTTTTGAATTACATAATTAGGAAAAATAAAACGAATTAGCATATTTATTTATTTATTTATTTAATATTAATAATATATATGCATATATGAAAGTTACTCCCTAATAAATTTTCGAATTTGCAAATTAGGTTATAAGTTAATATCTCGATAATCCATATCATAATAAAATACATTGTTTTGATGTTACATAAGTATTATATATTTATACTATTATAAATTAAAAAATATAATATAAAAAAATAAGACAATTCATTTTTTTATTACTAGATGTGAATTTATTTCATTAGCAGATTTAAATCCTTTAGAAATCGGAACTATGTATATTTCTTCTGCAATCCATGATTTATAACATCCTGGATTTACCAATTTATATTAAATAAATACACGCTCAAACCTAGCAATCTTATATAATGATTAAAGTCCTTTAGAAAATCATCATTTAAGTACAGCTTTTAAACTTCTTTTTAACAAAAATGAAAATAATATATTTTCATAATTAAGTATTAGTTAATATAAAGACACAAGATAAATTATTATAAGTATGATCTTATCAACTGATATGACTTATCATTTTTAGGATTTTAATAAACTAAAAGTACGTTTAGCATCAAATGGTATTTTTTATATATAAGTTTTTCATTTTTGTTTTTTTTGTTTTTAAAAAAAAATAGAATTTAATTGTAGAACTAAAGATAAGTAATTGTGTATGAATTCTTTATTACATGCAGCTGATATAAGTAATCCTTTTAAACCGTTTCATATATATTAATAATGGACAGTTAAAGTACTTGAGGAATTTTGGAGATAAGTTATTTTTAAATATATATAAAGTAATATTTTATTTTTTTATATATGCAAGGGTGATAAAGAAAGGGAATTAGGACTTCCAATAAGTTATTTATGTGATAGGTTTACAACAAATATGGCTAAAAGTTAAGTTGGCTTTATTGATTTTATTGTAAAACCATATTATGAGTTAATAAGTTAGTTTTTAATTGAATTAAACCATTATTTACCTATATTGGATTAGAATAAAGTACAATGGTAAGCCTATGAAGATTATTATACTAAATAACTAGAAAATTAAATGAAGAGAAAATCATCAAATTAAGAAAAGAAAATTAGTTTTTGATAAGAATTGTAGGAAAAAAATAAAATAAAGCAATAATTTTTTAATAAAATAAAAATATTTATTTAATTTAATTATTAAAAAAATAAAATTAAAATTTTTATATAAAAATTAAAAAAAAAAATGCTGTTAATGGGTAGCCGTACATAAAAACGGCTTGCATAATTACTTATAAGTTTAATAAGTTGTGAAAAACATATAGAATAAATAAGATAACAAATAGCCTCTCATCCTAAAGCCGATATTTACGAATTATATTAAAAATTAGATTTTAAAAATTAAGGATATTTCGACGTTTAACATATAAAAGATTATTGTGAAAATAATAATATGAATCCTACTAATAGAGAAGTCAATTATATTTCCTAATTATTTGATACCGATAATGATGGATTTATTACATATGAAAAGTAAATATTTTAATAATGATTATATTTTTTAATATATATATATATATATATATATATATATATATATATTTATATATATATATATATATATATTTATAACTGTTAAAATAAAATTTTAGTTTTTAGCATTTTATATTGCCTTTTAATAACTAAGATCTGAGGAATTAAATGATTTTAAACGATAGGATTTTAGCCTTATAATAAATGGACAAAAAATATTAAAATACAAAAGATTTTTAAAGAGAATAGTAAATGAATGAATTATTAAAACTATTTTTGAATTAAATAGTAAAAAACTATAAATTAATTGAGGCTTAAAAAGAAATAATGTTTAAAAGCGAAGATTTTTAATTATAAGTAGCTTTTAAAATATTAGATACTTCTAATATAAATAAATTAGATTATGAATGGTTATTTTTTTTTTCTTTGTTTTTATTAAAAAACAAATAAAATAGTTTAGATGAATTTTTAAAAGGACATAAAATATAATTTTAAGAAAAAGACTTATTATTATTGATTAGAATTTATGGATCATTATATGACGGTTTTATTTCCGAATCTTAATTTTTGAAGATGATTTTACCTTCGGAATGCTTCCATAAAAAATAAGTAATATAAGAAAGTTTAAATAGAAAACATAAAATAGACAAAACAGTATAAGATAATATAGTTCATGTATAATATTTCGAAAAATCAGAAAAAAAATCATAAATTTAATCGAAATCTTAATTAAATTAATCTTCCCAGACCTTAATTTCTCCTACAAAATAAAACTTTACTCAATCTTAATTTAAAACTAAAACAAAAATAAATATAGAATAAAAACACTCTACTTAAATCAATTTAAAATCATTCACTAATGTAGCCAAATCCATGCTTTCACTAAAATCTCTAAATACCAAAAAAATGCTTTGTAAAGGCAATTTTACAACCCCATAATCGAAAAAATTCAATATTAATAATAACTTAGAGAATAATAAAGGCACCCTAAACAATATATTTGATGATGCCGAATAATATAATGAATATAAAACCCAATATGACCAAGAAGAGCAATTTTTTATCCAAAAAATGTACGAAATTCTACAAAGTGATAAAAGATTGGAACAATCTAGGTAAAAATTAGCTTTATAAAAGGATTTTAACCTACTTGATGCGTTCTAATATATTGATATAAGTTAGAAAGGTTCCATTTAATAAAGGGAAATGTAATAAAACTTACGAAAATTAAATATTAATGCTACTAAAGACTAAATTTATTTATTTTACAAATAATATGATACCGACCTTACAAATAAATTGGAATATACGGAATTTGTGAAATCTTTAATCCCATTTGAATAAGAATATAGGAATATCATTAATAACAGAAAACCTACAGGAAATAAAATGAGTTCAGAAACTTAAGAATTATTAAAAAAAGCTTATCTATAGGTTATTTAAAATTGCTTTGAAATCGAAAATATTAGATAATAAATTAATAAAAGGAAATTTTTTAATTTGTAAAAAGGATTCTAAGCTATTGATTAAGATAATAAAGGGAAAATTAGTTTAGAAGATTTTAAAGTTATTTTCCAAGACTATGATATTTATGTCAATTTGAAAGAACTTTAATGGTTTTTTAGAAGATTCGATAAAACACTGGACGCAGAAGTTGATTATGGGGAATTTTTTTCAGAAATGTAACCAAAAAGTCCTTATAATTTAACAGAAGAAAAATTTAATAAGTAAACTTTGGTTTAAATACCATAAAATATATGAGATTTTTTATAAATACATATTTATTTTAAATTTTTATTCATATAAATACATTTTTTTTTTTTTTGAAAAAAAAAAAAAATTATATATATAAATACTTTTTTTTTGTTTATATAAATACATTTTTTTTTTGTAAAATTTTGTTTATATAAATGCATTTTTTTAATTTTTTTTAATTTTTTTTTTTAATTTTTTTTAATTTTTTTTAATTTTTTTTTTTTTTACTTTTTTTAATATTTTTTAATTTATTTTAATTTTTTTTTAATTTTTTTTTTTTTTTAAAAAAAAAAAATTTATATATATATATTTTATAAAAAATTATTGCTTTTTCTTTTTTTAAAAAATGTAATTATATTGTAATAGGGTAGATATAAGTAAACAATAATAAATTCAAATAAAATATTAATTAATAAAATAAGAAAACCAATAAGAAATCTAACATATTGAAGAGGGAGCAACATTAAACTATTAACCGGATAAAAATAGATATATTTTTTTTGGAGGTATCCATTAAGAAAATACATCAATAGAAAATAAAAACAAATAAATATGTAAAATTTAAAAAAAATTAATATAAAAAAACATAAATATATAAGTTAATATGCAATAACATGAATAAATGTAGTAATAATAAAGTATGATGATAAATTTTAGTTTAAGCAAAAAAACACCAGGAATAAATTTTAAATTAAATAATAATTAAAATAATGAAACTTAATAAATTGAATCTCTTATTTGTTTTTTTGATTTACATGAATAAAAGTGGGTAAAATAATAATCTACGGGTAGAACTCCTTCAAAAAGAACTCATAATCATAGTTGGTATGAATAACCTTATTTATTTATATATGGAGGATTATCTTTAGATAAAAAAATACTTAATGATATGTACGTATTAAATACAGAAAAGTTATAATGGAAAAGATTTTTTTGGTTTGAAGGTTATTTTTTTATTTTTTTTAATAATATAAATAAATAAAAGGACCATAATCAAAAATACATTCATAATTAGTAGATTTAGGAGAAAAAAAATACATTATAGGAGGCTAATTGAGTGATAATTAACTTTCAAATGAAATTTGGACTTTCACTTTAGAAGATATTGGCTGGGATTAAAATGTTAATGAATTACCTGGGATATAATGGGAAAAATCAGATATAAATGTAAAAGCTTTTTTATTTAAAACAACACATATACATATATCATATATATATATATATATATATATATATATATCATATATATATATATCATAATTATTTATATATATCAAGAAAAATCACGTTTTCCCACCTACTAAAAATCATTCTGCTGTAAAAATAAACGACTCCCAAATATTCATTTTTGGAGGTTATAATTAAAAAAAATAATCTACGGATTCGGCTTTTTTAATTAATACTTAAAATAACTCAATCTCTTAATATTAAGGTAAAGGTTAAAAGCCTACGCCAAGAGCTTTTCATGTAAAAAAGTAAAATTGTTATTTAAATAAAATTATTTTAAATAGAATATGGTTCAATTAGGTGATAATCTAATTTGCCTTTTTGGTGGATATAGTTGCTAAGATGATATGATTAAGGGTTCCTAAACTTTAAATGATCTATATTTACTTGATTTGAATTAAAAAAATTGGATAAAGCCAATAATTTAAGGAAATTTACCATAATTTAAAATAGTTCTTGCAACTGCATGCAATTAAATGTAAAATGAAATAGTGTTATTAGGAGGAAAAACTTAAGAAAATAGCTCTAATATAGAAAAATTTATATATCTAATAAGTAGTAATATTAATAAAAAGGATGGTATGTAAATATTTATATATATATATATATAACTTTTTTATTTAATAAAAGATTAATAATAATAATAACAATAATAATAATAATAATAATAATAATAATAATAAAATAATGAGAATTATTAAAAACTGTAATTTGAAGGATATAGAGACGCAGCAAAAAAGTAAAAATCAAATAATCCTTCTACAATGACCTAAGAATTTAATTAGGCATAAAAATATATAATTGAATAAAAGAAAAAATTATAAGATTTAGAAAATAAATATAAAAGTTTAAAAAAAAAAAATGAGGAATTAAGGGAAAATCAAATCAAAATGTAAGGAAATTAAGAAATTGTATAATAATATGAAAATATAGAGGCCTAAATTAAAGAAAAAACATAGAGAAATCAATAATTTGATCTGTTTTTTGATAAAGTTAAATGTCTTTTAGCATATGTTAGAAAAAGAAGAAAAATACTATAAATTAAATAACTATCATTATAAGATTCCTTTAAAAAAGCTGAGAATTTCATAATTATAATTGATGTTATATATTCAAGAGGATAAAAAGGTTAAATTATATATGTATTGTTTTAAAAATAATTACATTAAAATAAAGATAATTTATTTAATGGAATAATTAATAATGAAATACTTGAAAAAATATAATAATTAAAGGAAGAACACAAATAAGTATTAACTTAATTTCGAAATAGTTTTGAAATAGCTATTGAAAATGAAAAATAAATAAAAAAGGAAATGAAAGTTAAAGTAAATTTATGTTTTTTATTTAATTTGTAATATTTTTATATTGATTTAAAAAAACAAAAAAAAAGAAAGAAGCTTTAAAACCAGAAATAAATATATCAGAAGAATGGAAAAAATTAATAACAAGTGATTAAAAGCAATATTTTTTAAAAAATAAATAATGAATATATTCTATAATTTTTAAAAAAATTAATAAAAAATAAAATTAAAATAAAAAATACATAGAAAAGGATTATATAAAGGAAAAATTATATTAAGAACTTAAAGATATATTATATAAAAAAAAAAAAATATTATATAATAAATAATATATATATATAATATTATATATTTATATATTTAAAATATTTATAATTATTTAAATAATATAGTTATACATATTAATACTTAATATAATTTACTTAATTTATAACAAATATAAAATAAATATATTATAAATTTTAATTTTTATAAAAAAATTTTTCTCAGTTCCAACCGTCTACAATATTAGTTTTTACGTTTTAATTTTAAATTTTAATTTCTCTTGTTTCTGTTTTTTTCTTATTACAATATTATTAAAAATGTAGTTTTTTTTTTATATATAATAATACTTTATCTTATTCTACTTTTTTAGCTTATTATTGCTATTAATGTTTTTTCTTTGTTTCTTCATTCTAATCTTTAACAACGTTCCATTATTCATCCTTTTTTTTAATTTTATTTTTTTAATCATAAATTAAATATTACCTTATTTTCTTGTTCTTTATGATTAAAATTCTTTTCTTAATCTTATGATTATCTATTTTATTAATTTTTACCTTAATAGCCAGTTTTTTAGACTCCTCCAATAAATCTTTTAGGATTATTATTGTTTCCTTAAGTAGTAGTATTTTCTTGTTTTTAAGTTGTTTCTATTTTCCTTTCAAATTTAGGTTTCTAAGGTTATTACTATTATTCCTCAGTAGATTATTACTATTATTCATTTGTTTATTCTTTTTATTATAACTCATTTTCTTTTACTTCTTCGTTTTCTAAATTAAATAGTTAAAAAAATTTAATACTTGTTTTTGTTTTTGTTTTTGTTTTTGTTTTTTTTTGTTTTTTTTTTCTACCTCCTTTCTTTGATGCTTTGTAGTTTTTTGCTTTGTTTTTGTAATATTTGTTTGTTTCATGCTTCGCAGTATGTCCATTATATCCAATTTAATTCCATTCATCTTCGTTATTTTTTTTAACACGGTCATTAATTCTCATTATGAACTTCTTTCCCAAAATTTCCTTTTATTAAAATAAAAATACTTAATAAAAAATATATATATACTCTAGGAGATGTTTTTATGAATTAAATTGCTTAATTATGATCTCGGAAATATAAATTAAACATACCAGGTTTATTCATTAATTATTCTATTTTCATATGGATATCTTAATAGGTCTCCTTTACATTTCTCCAAGTGGCTTCAGGTACTACCTTAAAAATATTAATACAAACTGAATTTTCGTCAGAAGATTTAATTCTATCAATCATTTCCCATTCTTTATATTTTTTAATATATATTTTATTTTATACATATTATTTATTTATATATATATATATATCATTTACTTCCTTCATATTTTGGTTTTTAATGTTATTCTTTTTGTTTTTCAGTAGTTTTTTCAGTTTTAGGCTATTATTCAGTAGTTAACTTTTTTTCGTTTACCTATCCTTATTATTCTTATTCATTATCAGATGCAAAGTTTTTCCATTCAGCGGCTTTTATATTTATAGTTTTGTTAATATACTGATATTTAATTATATTATTTACATTTTTACTAAGAGTTTGACATTTTTTTTTATTTTTTTTAATCAAATAATAATTATATTTTTTTATAATTAAAATTTTTGATATATAAAATATATCAAAAAAAAAAAAATGACTATATCTTTTTTTAAATAAATTTGTTCTTGGTAAAATTGATACTTTAATCATTTCACAAGTAATTAAAATTTAAAAAAATAAATATTTTAAGTATACATATTAAATATAAAAATAAATTAATACGTAGTAATAATTAAAAAAAAAAAAAACCTACCTATGTTACTAAAACTAACGAAAAATTAAAATAATAAAAAATATTTATAAAACAAACAAATATATATATATATAGAAATTATAATAAATGGGAAGTTAATGCTCTCAAGATTTATGTTAATAAAATAATACTGATGTCTTATTTTCTTAAACATCTGTAACTCCCAGCAAAATAGTAAACCAAAAAAATTCTTAATATTAAATATGAGTAACTGATTCTTAATAAAATTAAGAAAATTAAATATATACTTTTAAAAATACCCAAACCCGTAAAAAATTACCTCCCATAACCCTCGAAGACTTCATAATATATGAAGGCGAATGGTATTTAGGTTAAAGAGACGGATAAGGTATTTAAAAATGGCCAAACGGTTCTTAATATGAAGGTCAATGGATATAAGGAAAAGCACATGGAATAGGTAGGCTTATACATTCAGACGGTGATATATATGATGGAGAATGGAAAGATGGTAAAGCAAATGGAAAAGGGACTTATTTTCATATAAATGGGGCAATATATATTGGGGAATGGAAAGACGATAAATAAAATGGGAAAGGAAGTGAATAATGGCCCGATTCTTCTAGTTATGAAGGAAATTATGTCGACGGATAGAAAAATGGATTCGGGGTTTTAATATTTGCAGATAAGTCAGAGTATAGGGGACAGTTTTAAAATAATCTAATACAGGGAATAGGGGAATATAAATGGCCGAATGGAAGGGTATATATAGGAGAATGGATTTAGAATAAAATGAATGGAAAAGGTGTTATTAAATGGGCGGATGGAAGGAAGTATGATGGGGAATATAAAGATGATAAAAAACATGGGAAAGGTGTTTTTTTTTGGAAAGATGGAAGGAAATATGTAGGATTTTGGAAAGAAGGGAAATAAGATGGATTAGGGATTCAAATTTAAACTGACGGGTAAAAAATATACGCGGAATGGAAAGAAGGGAAAATGATTAAAAATGTAAGTTAAAATGAAGATATTAATTATAATAAAGATTAAATTTTGGAACTTTTGAAATTAATTTAATGATTATTCTTTTGTATAATAGATATATTCAGATAAAAAAAAAATATATAGAAAGATGTATAGTAGTAGATTATTAATTTATTTATTATATATATATATATATATATATATATATATAAATAATCATTAAATATAATGCTTTATGAATTTATATGTATAAAATATTCTAAAAAAATACTATATACTAAAAAATATAGTTTTATAATAAAATATTAAAAGTTTTTATAAAAATATAATAATTATTATTTTTAAGTAATTTTTTAACAAACAAAAAAATTCGAAAAGTTTATGTAAACGCTTGTCTTATAAATAGAAAACTGCTAGTGCTAATTTAAATATAAATCAAAAATGTATTATGTTTTAAAATTCTAAAGATATAAATAAATATATTTAAAATCAAGCAATATAAAGAATAAGGATAAATTTAAATAGAAGAAACAAATAACTATATAGAAATTTAATAGAAGATTATAAAATAGTATTATAATTTAAAAATGTCTTATACAAAGTAGTTTATATTAAAAATACATATTTATAATTTTAATTGAAAAAAAAAAAAAAAAAATATAAGAAGAAATAAATATCATTCGGTACAATATAAAAAATTAGCTTTTTTGAAATTAACTTAAATTATGTTTCAGAAAAACAAAAATTAAAAAACATATATAATAAATTAAAATCTAAAAATTGATATATGGAACTAAAGAAAAGCTATCTTACTTTATACTATAGTTTATTTAGAAATAGAAAACAAATATATATTAAATAAATAAAAAAAAATTATGAATTAATAAACTAAAATAAAAAATATTATAATAATTAATATTTATATATTTATATTATTTTCATTTCTCTAAATATAAATAAAATCTTAGAATATATTATTTATATAAGAAAAGAAGATTGATATTTAATATAATAATATAAAGTATTATGTATTTAGATATAATTTATTTTAAATATAAATATTTGAATCATTTAATATTATTTTAATATATTACAAATGCAATTAGCTAAATTTTAATAGTACAAATATTTGTATTATTTCTTTAAATCATTAATACAACTAAGCTTATATAACAATAATGACTTAAAATAATTAAAAAATAAAATAACTCTTATTTATTATTACTTTGTAATGTTTTTATTCAAAAATCGATAAATACATATATTAAATATTGTTTTTATTTATAATATCGTTCAGTATTGATTTTTTTTTTTTTTTTACTATTTATTTAATTTAAACTAATAGATATATTTTGATTTTATTCTATTATTTATAATATTTAAATAATCTATTTTCATTAAATATATTAGCTAATATATATATATTTTTTTTAATACAAGCAGATTCTATTTATTAAATAAAAATATTTATCATTAAATTTACTCATTATTTTTTAACTGTTTATCTAATATACTTTATTTTATAGGCTAACTTATTCTTTTTATATTAAATTATATTAAAACTCTACCACACATTTTATGTATAAATTCTTCTATTCATATAATTGTTTTATTATGAAACTGTTCCTTATTTTGTTGTAATAAATAGTCTCTTATTATTAAATATTATTTATTATAGGAACTTAATTTTAAACAATATTTGACTAACTAAATGTTTAATTAATATTTTTCCTAAAAAACTTAAATGTTTTTTCATATTATAATTATTTTAAATAATTATTATGTACTATATAGACTTATTTACATATTTAATTTGGGAAATAAATCTTTATTTGGTTATTTTATCTTTCTTTAATTATATTTATTTAAAGACATGATATTCTATTATTTATTTTTAAGAAACTTTAAAATTTATATTTATAAAATATTCAAAAACTTTTTTTTTTTTCATTAATCTATTTTTTTTTTAAAGGACAATATTTTTATTTCTATAATTATTTTGTTTTTGCAAGTTTTTCCATATAATTATTATTTTTTTTTTATATAAAATATTATTTCAATGTACTGTAAATATCGATTTCGTTTAATATTTTTTGTAGGAATTATTTATTAGTATTTAGATATTTAACTCCTTAAAAATAGTGAGTCGCTTATTTTTACAAAATACACTGTTTTTTTAATATATCAAATATTTTTGGTTTATGTTTATTTTATATTCTTTATTTTAAACAAAAAAAGACTAAAAGAACTAGTTTTTTTTTATATATATATATATTAAAATAATCTTTTTTTTCTATTATAAATAATATTGATTATTTTAATAAAAAATAAAATCTAAAAACTTTTAATTTATTATTATTTAATTATAAATTCAATAAAAAAAATAAAAAAATGAATTTCTTTGAGGATAAATTAAGCCAATAAGATGAAGAAGAAGAATAGAAATTTGATTTTTTAAAAGATTAAAACAATAAATAAAGATCTAATCAATAATAAGAAGAAGAAATATATGAAGCCCATTTTTAAGCAAATGCAAACTATTATAGAGGAGAAAATGTATTTAAAAAAAAAAAAAAGCACATTTTTTTTAAAAAAAAAATAATACAAAAAAGAATTAAAAAAATTAAATGAATATGAAATTATGGAAAAATAGGAAGTGGTTCCTTTGGAAAAGTCAAAAAAGTAAAAAGAACATTTTTAGATGATGATGGAGTAACAGTATGTTAATCACTTTATGCAGATAAAGTTAAAAAAAAAAAAAAAAAAAGTTAAACAAATATAGATATTTAGTAAAATTTCATTAAGAAATTAAAGAGCTTTTGAATACTATAAAGATTAAGATCCTAAAATGACAGACAGGTTAAAATTATTATATAATGAAATAGATATTTGGAAATTTTTAAATCATAATAATATATGCAAATTATATTAAGTAATATATATAAATATAAAGATATTAATAATAATTATTAAATAAAAATATAAATTATAATATAAATTTATACATAAATAATATTTATTTATATATATAAAAATATATAATTATATATGTTATATATTTATATATATAATTAAATATATTTATTATAATTATTTAAAAACATTTATATTATTAAAATATAAAAATTTATGTTTTAATATTAATAAATTTTATATAATATTTTTATCTCCTTTTTCATATATCTTTTTAATTTATAATTTAATATAAATAGATTATAGATGATCCAGATGATTAATAAATACATTTAATAATGTAATACTGTGATTTAAGTTAAATAATGAATTGGAATGAAGAAAATTTATAATATAATCCTAATACAAAAATGGAACAATTTATTATATAAGCGTATAACATATAAATTAATTGTAAAAAAAATAAATATTTTATTTGAAAATTTAATTAATCAAGAAATTGCTCAAAATCAAATAAGAGAAATTTTAGCAAAAATAATATTTAAATAAATTTCTTAAGGTGTTAAATATTTACATGATTCAAATATAGTTAATAGAGACATAAAAATAGATAATATTTTATGCAAATCAGACTGTAAAAATAAATTAAATCTTAATTGATTAATATTCTTTTACTCTTGTTTTGTTAGTAATATTTTGCAGTATTTAATTTTAAAATATTATATTTGATTATCAATTAATAGATAATCTATATATATATATATATTTAGCATATATTATCTACTAGAAATTAATATTTTAAAATATTATATTTAGCAAAATAAGAGAAAAAGAAAAAAAAATTAATAATAATGTACTTATAAAAATTTAAAAAAAAGGTGATTTAAATGAGCATTTTAAATTAGCTGATTTCTCAACAGCTAAAAAAATTTAAAATAATGAATATTTATTTGACTGTGCCGGAACTCCAGGTTTTAGAGGTCCTGAACATTAGTTTTCGGTAGACAAAGGTTATGATGGTAAAAAAAGTGATATATGGTCGTTGGGGATAAGTATTTATACATATGTAAACCTAAAGTTACCTTTTTGGAAAAATTCAGAATTCGAAACTGATTTAGCATCTTTAAATGATGAAATACAGTTTAGAAATGAAAACTCTAATGAATTTAAAGATTTAATAAATAAAATGTGTTAAAAAGAATAATAAAATAGAATAAATATAGATGAAGTTTTACAAGATAAATGGTTCGATTTTTGAAAATTAAAAAAAATTAAAAAATATATGTTCTTAGTTAATATTTAATTTTTATTATAAAAAATAATATATTTAATTTAAAAGAAAATGAAATAATTATATAATAAGATTTATTTATTATTATATTATTTATAATTTTTAAACCTTTGATTTTAATTATTAATTTATAATAACAAAAGTAAAATATTTTCATTAAAATAAAATAAATAATATTATTAATAAAAAATTAAATATTGAATATTTAATATTATATAAAAAAAAAATTTTAAATAATTTAAAAAATATTAAAATAAAATAAGATATATATTATAATTTTAAAAAAAAAAAAAAAAAAAAATTAAAATGTAAGAATAAAGGGTTTTATAACATATATTATGTAAAACGCATAAAAGTGCATCTGACATGCTTAGTGCTATTTTAAAAATAAGAAACAATGCATTATCATATCCTGATACAGTACTGGAGTATGGTTTGAAATTAGTACGTAACCGTAGATCATAAATAGAAAAGGAATGTAATATAATAAAAAATAATATATATAAATATAAAATATATATATATATATATATATATATATATAGGTATATTCTAATTTATTTATATAATCTCCGACTCAGTTTTATAATGATCCTATAATATTATTTTAGACTATATAGTTATTGAAGAATTATTTCATGCAGCTTTATCTTTATAAATGATTACACTAGCTGATGTATTTACATATAATTATTTACATTATTTTTTTAATAATAGAAATGTTTTTAAAAACTTTAATAATAATTTTTAGAATCTCCAAAAATAAGTCTTTTTTAATGTATAAAAAATATTTATTACTAAAATATTAATAATAATTTTTTATAATAAAGCTTTACTTACTTAAGCTGCAGCAAACAATGACAATTTAACTACAATATTAAATCAAAATTTATCTGCAAATTTATCTGATTATGTTAACTATTTTTTTTTTTATTATATTATAAACCTTTTATATTTAATAATAAAAGGATTCTAAAAAAAGAAAAATAGCAATATAAAGAGTATACATTTTTTATTATTGTAAAAAAATTAATTTTTTTAGTTAGAAGAAAATTACGGTAGTTTTGTATAAGAAATGAATAAATATTTAGAAGAAAATCCAAATGATGGAGAAGCTTGGTTAGAATTGGGCGATTTTTATTTAGAATAATTAAGGTTTTTTTAAAAATAAAATAAAAATAATATATATTTTTTTGAAAATTAGTTATAATAAAGCTTTATATTGTTATGAGGAAGTTTTAATTTTATATCCAAAGAGATATATTTATATGATGAGAATTGCCGAGGTTATTATTATAATTTAAAGTATTAAATTAATAAACTTATTTTTATAAAATAAAAATAGATTTATTATACTTTAGGAGGATAGTAAAACCTTTTAAATGCAAGAAATTATTATTCCTTTGTATTAAATAAAATGTAAAATAACTATAGATGTCTATGGGGATTAATTCAGACTTGTTAAAAACTTAAATAAATTGATAATAAAGATGAAAAAAATAATTAATTACATTAAGTTACTATAATTATTTTATAAAATTCATTATTATATATATTATAATATAATAAATTAAAGGTTTCAATAGATATTTTGAAAAAGTTTTATAAAGATAAAAAAAATAATAATTAGTATAAAATTATTCATTTAATAATTGACATATGATAAAAATTAGTTAATTTTTAAAAAACACTTAAATATCAAATATTTAATAAAATAATATAAACTAATAAAAAATATAATTAAAAATATAAAAAATTAGAAAAAAAATTATATATAATAATAACAAAATTAATATACATTATATATATATATATATATATATATATATATATATATATATATTTTATCTTCTCAATATTTTACTTTTTATTATTTTTTTTATTTATATAATTTTTTCGACTCTAGTTTATTGTTTTTATTTTTTTTTAACATAGTTTCAAATTCTCGTTTCTTTATTTATTTTAAGTATTTGGAATTATTATTTATTTTAAATCTTTTATATATTGGATATTATTAATTTTGTTTTATGGTTTTTAACTTTTTTAATTATATTTCATTGGGTTTCTTTTAATATTATTATTCGTATTAAATTAAATTATATGATTTTATAGATAAGCACAATACACCCAGAGTCATGTTTTGTATAAAGTTTAAAAATTTAAAAAAACCACTATTTCTTTTGAAATAATACATATAAACAAAATAATAAGGGTAATATTATATAAAATAAAATAGTATATATATTATTTTTAAAGTATATATATATATATTATTTATTAATTTAAAAATAAAGAATATCTATAGATATATAAATTTAATGTAATTGCTAAAAAAAAAATGCGCCGCGAATAATCTAAAATATAAACAAAGGCGTACGCGAATAATTTATTAACAGAACATATATGGTGATTACTATAATATGACTCGAATTTACAATCGTATATGTGCCCAGAGCTTTTTATGTAGGACAATTACTAGTTGTTTATGTTAAATTTTAAAATAAAAACTATGTATTTCTATATATTTTTAGTAAAATAAAATTATTAGAATCTTTCTTATTATTTTATATCGAGAAAAAAAAAAAAAAAAAGGAAAAAAAAAATTAATTAATTATAATTTTATAAGTGTTAAAAATTTTTAATATTATTTGTTTTATATTTATAAAATATTAAAAGCCTAAATTTAAATAGATGAGAAATAATATATGGAAAAAAAAACATTAATATATATGGAAAAAAAAACATTAATATTATATGGAAAAAAAACATTAATATATATGGAAAAAAAACATTAATAATATATGGAAAAATCATTAATATATATTAAAAAACATTAATATTATATGGAAAAAAATCATTATTAATATATATGGAAAAAAAAAACATTAATAATGTGTTGTAAAAACCATTACTATATGTTAAATAAACATTAAAAATATATGGAAAAAAACATTATTTATTATATATGAAAAAAAAACCATAATTAATATATATGGAATAAAATCCATTATTAATATATATGGAATAAAACTATTATAAATATATATATATTGAAAAGAAACCATTATTAATAAATATGGAAGAAAAAAAAAACCATATTTAATATATATGGAAAAAAAAACAATTAGTAATACATATGGAAAAAAAACCATGGAATAAAACCATTATTAATATATATGTAAAAAAACCATATTTATAATATATATGGAAAAAAAAAACATATTTATAATATATATAGAAAAAAAAAAACCATTATTAATATATATGGAATAAAATCCATTATTAATATATATGGAAAAAAAAAAAAAACCATATTTATAATATATATATATAAAAAAAACTATATTTAATATATATGGAAAAAAAAAAGCTATTATTAATATATATGGAAAAAAAAAAACCATTATTAATATATATGAAAAAGGATTTTACATATAATTTTTTCTAAAAAATAAATATTATTTATTATAAAGAATATTAATTTAAAAAAATAAATCTTTTGTAAAATATAAAACGTTATAAAACTATAAAAATAATCAAATATTTTTTATTTAATTAAAAAAAAATTCGCTTTTTTTTTTTTTTTTTAAATAAAAGTTTCTTTATAAAAATTATAAATGAATCTTGAAATAATATCATAAACTTAATTATAAAATAACTAATATTAAACCTAATAAGAAAATATAGCTATTATCGATACTAAAAATTAAAATAATTATGAATAATAAACAAATTCAGATTCTCAATCTTTGTCATATGATGAACATCTTCCACATTTAGATCCTGAAATAAGCGATAAAAGTGATTCTAATAAAAATAATTATCGAGTAGTTTATAAATCGAAGAAAGAAATAGATATATAAAATGAATAAGAAGAGATTTTTGATTCCTATATATAAAATAACGAATATTTAGAGAAAATGGTTTCATAAAAAATAATTGATTTTAATAAAGAAATAGAATAAAACGAAGAACAAAAATAAAAAAAACTAAAAGAAATAAAGAAACTAAAAAAAATAATTAAAAAATTTAAATTCGATTATAAATATGACCAAAATAATAAACCAAGAATATATAACTTATAAGAAAAAAAAACAAAACTATACCAAAATACATTTTCATAAGAATAATTTGATTAAAACAAACATATTTTTTATATAGACGAGGAAGAAAATATATAAAAATATACTTTTTTAAACGAAATCGAAGTCTATTTTTTATTAAAAACCGATTTAGTAAATAAAACAAACAAAATATACCCCATATATATATATATGTTTTTCAATAAAAAATAAGTTATTAGAAACATTTATTATAGAATTGAAAAGTTTTTTATAAATAATGTGCGAAAACAAATGTATAATATAAGATTTTACATAAAAATATAAATGTTAATATCAAAAGAATATATTATTTTAATTTAATAATAAAACTCCATTTGTTTTTTAAATAAACTTCTTTTTAGAAGATGAAAATTATGATTTTATTCGAAAAAAAACAATAGAAAATTTCTTTTAATTAAAAAATACTAAAATACTTGAATTTTCTAATTTTATACTTTTTTGGGCTTCCTAAAAAAACATATTATCAAATGAGTATTTAAATAAATATAATTGGATATATTTAATTATATTTTTTTTCTAAAAAAATTACTTATTGCCACCTTCTTATAATTATCAAGAATTACTAAAATAAGCTTAATAAATCAAATAAGACTTAAAAATAGATAATATTAATAAATAGGATTTTATTTAATTATATTAAAATGATTTCTTTTTGACAAATTAACTTGATGTGATTCCTATTATAAAACCTAATGATATTATTTTATAAAATAAATAATAATATATTAGTTTAGGAGTTCTGTTTTTTAAGTTCTTGCATTTTATTTTAAATAATTTAGATTAGAGTGAATAAGCAGTTTCTCTTTGTGGGGAAAATTAACTAAAAAAATTTTATTTTAAAGGTATAGCTATAAATGGAATTCTAAAAGTAAAATCTAATTAAACTAAACATTTAAAAAAAGATGGAGTTTATTATAATTAAATCATTTAAGAATGTCTTTTATCTTTTGAGCTTTTAAAGGAAAAAGCAAATATAAATAAGCTTTTAGAAAAAATATGAAAAAAAATAAAAAAAAAAATAAAAAAAATAAATAAAAAAAAAATAAAAAAAAATAAAAAAAAAAAACAAATAAAAAAAAATAAAAAAAAAAATAAAAGAAAAAATAAAAAAAAAAATAAAAAAAAATAAAATAAAAATAAAAATAAAAAAAAATTATATATTTTAAATAAAAATTCCTTAAAAAAAAAAAAAAAAACAAAGAACAAATTTTTCATATATATCATAAAAAAATATTTAAATACACAAAAAAAAAAAAAAAGAAGAAAGAAAGAAAAAAGCCTTCATTTTTAATTTTATTAATCATTCAATTATATATTTACTTATAATTCCTATTATTATTATTATTATTTTTACTATTATTATTATTTTTCTTCCAATTCCCTTTATTATTCCAAAACTTTTCTTTTTCTCATCTATTCTTCTTCCGAATCTGCTTCATTAATTACTTTTTTTTATTTCTCATTAAAATTAGGATCAGTCCAATATGGCTTTTTAACATATTAAATTGCCTAAGAATTAATTGAATATCTTTTAAAACTTGGAGGAGGCCCATCAAAGAAAACTAATCCCAAAAAGCTATCGCACTTAGCACAACAGGCCTTCTTTTTTTCTACTGTCTATTATTTCTGGAAATTATTTTATATAACATTAATAAAATCCTCCTCTATTTCATACATATTATCATCTTTTATATTAACCGAATTATTTAAACAACTCCAAAATGAAGCCATCCCAGTAGTAGTTAAAAATTTTAAATTCCAATCGAATAATCGAGTACTACATACTGAACAATGGTAATATCCAACTTCTTATTCAAACCATTTATCACCTGTAAATGGACGTTCCATTCCTTTTCCTTAAGTTATCCAATATTAATGTGGGGTCATATTTAAACGGTCGATTCGGAATTCTTTAGAGGATAAAAGTTCGGTTGGATTTTCGATGTTTTATTATTAAATTTGCGTTTTTTTAGTGGTTTTGGCTGTTTTTCGTGATTTTGTGGAAAAGTATTTAAACGATTTAAAATTATTTTAAAATATTTTGATCATTTTTGTTGGAAGAAAAAAAAATAATTTGATTAAAAAAGATTTTATTTTTATATTATTTAATAAAACACAAAAAATGTTAAATAAATTTTTTACTTTTACATATAAAAAAAGCATAAGAAAAGTTACAAATAAAATATAATTTTTACAATCAAATAAAAATAATAACGAAAATTTAATTTCTTTTTATTTCTTAAATAAAGACGGAAACGAAATAAAAGTAACATCAAAAGAAGGAAAAAATATATTGGAAATTGCACATGAAAATAATATAGATTTAGAAGGAGCATGCGAAATGTCCCTAGCATGTTCCACATGTCATGTTATTTTAGATGATAAGGTTTATAATTAATTGCCTAGTGCATCATTAGAAGAAGAAGATCTTTTAGATTTAGCCTTTGGATTGACTGATACTAGCAGACTTGGATGTTAAGTAAAAGTTGATAAAAATTTCGAAAATACAAGAGTAAAATTACCAAAGGCAACTAGAAATTTTTATGTGGATGGACATAAACCATAACCACATTGATAATGAAGATTATATTATATTTATTATTGTATTTTATTAAATATTTATAAAAATGTATGTATAATTGAGTACTTTTATTAATTTTTGATCAATTTAAAATATAAATTATTTTAAAATATAAGAAGATATTTATGTTTAAAGATATATATATATAAATATATATATATATATATATATATATATATATATATATATTATTTATTTTTTTAATTAATTATATTTTCATATATATTATCATATAATTATTTAATTAAAATATTTTTTATATTTATCTATATAAATTATATAATTTTATTAATAAATATGTTCTTTATAAATATTTATTTGAAAATACATTATATTTAATATGAATAAAATATTTATTTTAAAAAATATAGACAGTTTAAATTTTAATGTATATATGTAATAAAAAAATAGTTCAATAAACATTTTATAACTATTTAAATATAATATTTTAAATTTAATATATTAAATTTATTGATTTAATAAATATTTTTATATTTTAAATGTTTATATATAATCTTTAGAAATATAAAATTATATTTAATAATGTTAAAAATGAAAATGTATTATTAAAAATAAAAATAAATGACATAAATTTATATATATATATATTTTTATATAAAATTAATATATATAATATATAATATATATTTATAATTTAATTTTATTTATTTTCCAATTAAAATCTATTATAAAAATAATATATTATATTTTTTTGTATATTTATTACTAAAACTAAAATAATATATACTTTTATTTATTAAATATCAGAAAATATATTTTTTTAATTTTTTTTACATATGAAAAATATTTAAATATCATTAAAATTAGATTTTATTTTTTCTATATAATATATATATATATATATATATATAAAATATGAATTCTAATTCATTTAAATTTATAATATAAAAATTTTTTATTTTATTATAACAATTATTTTACTAATTTTTAATAAATAATATAAAATAAATTTTTACACTATATATATAATATAATCAAAATACATAAATTTATATTATTCACTCAATTATATTAATATTTCTTTGAACCAATTTTTCAACTTTAAGATATTCTAAATAACATATTAAAGCAAGTATCTTATCTTAATATTTAAAGTCATACTTGTTATTAAATTTAATTAAAGCTCTTGTTCCTTCACAATTTAAAGTACCTCCATGCGCGACATTTTTTTTTTAATTATCAACTATATCTAATTTAACTCTAAAGCATGTAAAAATTTAATAAAATTAAATTAAAATGCTAAAAATAGGACAAGCATAACATTTAAACCAACCAGGAGTTTTTACAGAAAAACTTTATTAAGATTAAGTAGTAACTTTACTTCTGATTTCCAAAAAAAAAAAATCTTTTTTTATAGTCCCTAATTATTATTTTTTGCCATTAGAATCTTATTTATAAAAAAAAAAGTTTTCTAGTATTAATAATTCTTAAGTATTTTAAGAAAAAGTTTATAATTTCATTTAGTTTAATTGATCAGATCTTGTGTATATTATTATAGGCATAGTATCTTCATTAATAATTAAACGAAAAGTAGTATAATCGTATTCTATTAGTATTTTTTAAGCTTAATCAAGTTTATTTAGTAATTATTCTGTATTTTAATTATTAACTAGTTAATTTTATTATTCCATCTATATTTTTTTTCTCTTAAAATAATTTTAAATAGATATTTTTAATATTAAAAAAATAAAATTTCATAAATTTTTAAAAAATAAAATATATATATATATATATATAAATATAAATATATATATATATTTATTTATAATAATAAAAAAAAGTAAAAATACTAAAATCATGGATTATGAATAACTAGAATCTCATCTAGTTTAAGTTTGTTCCCCTTCTATGTTGGAAATGTAGAAAAAAGCTTAAATATTTATCTAGGATAAGCATTTAAGAGGTGTGAGTGTCTTTTTGTTTTACCTCTTTCCCTGTATTATGCATTTAGACTATATCTCCCCCCACAACGTAGGATTGGAATTCATTATTACCTATTATTGGCTGCGAGTTTCTGATTATGTATCGTTAATAGAAGTTCAATATCTCTTTTTCTTTTTATTAAAAGAATAAACAAATATTATATATAGATGTATTTTTTCTCCTCTCTGATCTCAATTATTAGGAAATCCAAAAGAATTATTATATTAATTATTATTATTATTATTATTATTATTATTATTATTATTATTATTATTATTATTATTATTATTATTATTATTATTTTATTATCTTTTATTTTGGGGTAGTAAACAAATATTATATATGGATGGATTTTATTATATTATTATTATTATTATTATTTAAAGAAATTATAAGTAAATATATATATGATCTTCCACTTTGATCTCATTTATTGTATATCCAAGCCAATTATTATTTTTATATTATAAATTATTATTATTAAATTATATTATATTATATTATATTATATTATTATTATTATTATATTATATTATATTATGTTATATTATATTTGGAATAGGAAACAAATATTATATATATATCTATTTTTCTCCTTTCTGATTTAAATTATTAGAATATCGAACAGAATTATTAATATTATGATTTCTTTTATTATTATTATATTTTTTATTTATTTTATTATTACTTTATTATTATTATTTTATGTTATATTATTATATTATATTTCATTGTTTTTTGTTATGATAGTATGATCGCTTTATATTATGAATATAAAAGTGTCAATATATGAAAATACATATATAATATTAATTTAAATACAATTATTATTAAATATTTTTTTATTTATAAAAATAATTATATACTATTTGTACTATTTTATTAAATATATATATATATATCTTTTAAATCTTAATTTTTTTTTATATATATATATATATATATATATATATATATTCATTAATTAGTTGAATAAGTAATATTTGTAATACTCTGGAACCTAATAAATTCTATAGCAGTCAATAAAGCTATAAGCTTTTCATCATTCTAGAATTTATATTATTTATTGAAAATTAGTCTAGCTCTAGTTTAATTACAATTCAATGATTTTAAATCCGCAGTATGTTTTCCTTTATTATCTATAACCTTATGGCTCATTGGAGGACATAAACAAGGCAATAAAAATAGATTTATTAATGGAATTAATATACATTTAATCCATCCGGGAGTTTTTACTTAAAAAAATTATTAAGTTTCAGTAATTATTTTTGTTTAAACTCCTAAACAAAGAGCATCTTTTTAGAAAACACCTATTTGTTTTTTCTCTCCATTTTCATTAATTTTAGTAATAAAATAATTAGACATTGTTACTAAGTCATAATTATTAATAGAATAAGAGTATAATTTAGATTCATTTATTTTTGTTCGTGTATATATTAAGCAAGGATTTTATTCATTGTCTATTGTCAAATGAAAGCTTGTGTAGTCAAAATCTATAAATACTATTGAAGCTTATGCTATTTTTTATAAAAGCGAAGTACAATCTTAATTGATGCAATTATTTTCAGTTTTAAAATTTGAATCAAGAGAAGCCATTTTTATATATATGTATATTGTATATGAAAAATATTTTTTTTTTTTTTTTTTAAATACAAAAAATAAAAATATATAATATTAAATTTTATAATTTGAGTTTTTAATTATTTAAAAATTAAAATATATAACTAATTTATTTTACATTACTATTTTTTTCTAAATTTTTCTTTTTATTTATTTGACATCAGAGAATATTTTATTATTAATATATATTACTTAAAATCAATATAATCGTAAACAAATGTTTCCCTATAAACCTTAACAAATACTAATATTCAATTGTATATATTTACTTTTTTTAATATAAAAAAATTTATAAGATTCAAATAATATAAATACAGTAATAAAGTATTAAAATTGAATAATTAATTAAATTTAGACATTAAAAGTATTTTTTATATCAAATTATAATACTTTGTAATACAAATAAAATATAAATAATTAAATAAATATAGACTTAATATATAATATAGTATTAATACTTGCTTTTGATAATAAAATGTCTTAATAATAATATGTATTTTATTAAACATTCTTAATTTTTTTTTAAAAAACTCATTCGCGACTACAAAAAAAAGGAGGAAACGGCCTTTTTTTTATTTAATTGATCTTTTTAAAAAAATATCAAAATAACTAATTTATATATATATAAATATATATAAATATATATAAATATATATAAATATATATATATATATATTTATTTATATATATATATATACTTTATTTATTAAATATGTTTAAAATAAATAAAATAAATAAAATAAATAAAATAAATAAAATAATCTATTAATCTGATTTAAAGAAAATTTATAATATTTTAAGCTAATAAAAGCTACTTTTTTTATTAAAAAATAATTTACTTTCTATTAAAAATATCGAATAGTGTACAAATTTAATATTATTTTATAAAAAAAAACTATTATCATCATTTTAAATAGTAAATTAGATATAAATAGAATTTTGAACTTATTATATTATAATTTATTTAACACATATATATTTAATACTTTTTATTTGAGAATTGAATTTATGTTATATATTATATCTTATAAAAATCAAATATAAAATCTAATTATAAAAGCCTGAATAAAGTATTTGTTTCTTATATAGATATTTCTTTACTTTTATTATTATATAGGTTATTTTTTTTCCTTATTCTATTTTTTTATTTTAAATTAAATAATAATAATACTATTATATTCAAATATAATTATTTCTCTATTTATTTATTAAAAATTGTACATCATATTCGATCTTTATTATCATTTACAAAAAAAAATCTATATATTATACAATTAGAATATAAGTTATTAATATCCTTTAAATATAAATATTAATAAAAAATTCATAAAATAAAAACTAATAAAAGAAATATATAATATATATGATATATAAATTATTGATCTAAATAGAAAAATGATTATATTAATAATAATATTAATAATAATAAT